CCATTTATCAATACATTTATTTCCATTTTGTTCTCAGTAACACATAGTCCCAGGAATATCAATCTCATCTGCCTGAAGCTTCCTATTCTACTAAAAATCAACAAGGGAAGAACTTTCTCAATTCAAACACTGTAAAAACAAATGGCATAAACCATGCCTCATTCCCTTTTCTTGACAAAGTTTCTCCAAGGAGAGCAAGAGGACTGCAAATACAATAAACAACTTTCTAGTAGATGTATTAGTAAAAGAAAAAGGCAGTTTCAACATAACTGTTTCCATTTCCTACCCCAAAAGAATACAGATTTCTTTGTTATTTGTTTATTCATAGAAAGTCTTATAAACAACATTGGAAGAATAACAAATCTGTCAAAACTCACATTTCAGCTATTTCAGTGGGGGTTTTCAACGTCATAGGAAGGAAAAAAAATCTTCTGTCTCTTATTCAAGAAGGCCTGTCACTAGTCACAATTCAATAGGTTCCAGGTTCATATAAGCGTTCTGTGAGATGTGCTCACACAATTCACCCTGGATTAGCTGGTACTGCAATGATTTTCACTGGACAGGCTGGCCTCACTTGATTTAACCAAAGTTATGGAATAGTAAGGTGCGTGAACTATAGGAACTTACATCCTATTCCCTTTTTTTCCTTTTTGGTCACAGAGTATAAACTAACTGAAGTAAAAAAAAAAAAAAAAATCCAAGCAAGAGTGACATGGTGTCAATCAATTTTATGATAACCTTTATAGCTTAAAGAAACAGGTGATTGCTAACACCATGAAGGCATTAAAAAGAGTATAACACAAAACGGCTGCTTTACAAATATTTCCATCCAATCCCATACGAGGGACAGACATTAAATCTCCCAAACCAATATAAACAAGGAACTTTTTTCTTTTGGGATAAAGAGCCTGGTCAAGCTGTCAGTGTTTACACAGAGAATCCTTTGTCCCACAGAATCTTCTCACGCACTGGAAAAGCAGTGAATGAATGAATGAATGAATGAATGAATGAATGAAAAACATGCAAACTGCATCAAAAGAATAGAAAGCTGACACCAGAGAAGTTTAAAATCACTAGAGGAATTCAAAAGTGCTGTTATGAACAAATTGTAGAGGGTTAATAATTATTATCAGACTAGTAAGAAACAAAAACTAAGATTTAATACAAAAAAAAACAAATACAGAACAATATAACCATCCGCTCTTCCAACACAAAAGTCATGGGCTGTTCTAAATTCTAAACAGAAATAAGCTACTACCTCTTTTGGCACAGGGAACAGCCATATGCATCTTTATATACATATAAAGCTATGTATTTATGTATACACATATACATTCATATACAGCTTTGAAAATTAAACCCATATTACCTAACACCTGCTCTGCAAATATTGGTTTCAGTGGTAAATACTGGAAGCTGTTCTCAGTGTAAGAGTTTTGCAGCAGATTTTGTGGTGTCAGAGAGGACACTTCACACTGCAGTCCAGAAACACTGGCACTCATACATCAAAAGCAGGGAACGTACAGTTCCACCTCTATTTTAATACAATGGTCAAATGAGAGAACAAAATTCATGCATCGGGAATTCACCTCTGGTAACTTATCTCCTTGTAGCATAAATCAGTATGAGAGAAAATGTCACAGATAACTTCCTCCTACATACTGAAAGAGGTTTGAAACTGTGGTTCAGTACAGCCCATTTGACGGCAGATAATCACAAGACACCAACTGCTGTGAAAACAAATACTAAGGAAGGCAGAAATTGAGTAAATTAGTAGAGACACAAATTAAGGGTAGGAAGTGCCTGTTTATAATATACTATTGATTTCGGTTCTCTGCTCCAGGATATAAAAAGCACTAACCAAAGGAAAGAATCGTTAAACTACAACCTAGCAGTTTCATCCTTTAAGGGCCTAATATGCAGTATCTCAAGAGATATGAATGTAAGATTGGTTACTTAAAGCCACAAAACCACAAAAGCCAAAAAAAACACAAAAGGAGGAAAAAGCTTTATTATCATCAGCTCCTCTGCAGATGATTAAATAAAAATATATGATGGAATAGCAAGACCAAATATATATTAGTACCCCATCACAGAGTAAAATCCTCTCTCTGCTGACTCTTCCATCAAGAAGAAAGTGAGACAAATTCAGAAGTGAGGAGGATAATACAGCTTAAACAGAGATGAAACAAAGAGCAATCAGTGTTTAACAGTGTTTCTACTCAGACTTAAGGTATCCCTTCATTAACACAATTAAAAATATTTACCTTGTTACCATGAAGTACAACATATTTTAGGCAAGGCACTGTCTGTGGTCAAGGTAAAGCCCTGAAGTTAAGAAGACATTTATAACTTCTGTCTTTCAGACATATGCCATATAAATCTGCCATATTTAAAAGATGTGTTCGCCTGCTTGAAATTCATCTGAACAATTAGTGATGTGTAATTTGAATTCCCTGACACCACAAGAATTTTTTCTAAAATTATCACCTCCACACTTTGCCCAAAACTACCACTGCTTGAACTCCTTGGCTGCTCTAATCAGTACGGGAAAAAAGTGATGTCTGTGGAAATGTATGGGTAAGTTAGGAAAGGAGTTACAGGTATTGTTTCAGATACTTTCACTTTAAGATTAATTTAAAAATATTTTAATATATTTAATACTAGAGAAATGCATAATCATTATAAGTGGGGAAGTCAACTTTCATATTCAATCAGGAAAAGAAAAAAGCAATTAAGTGAGTATGAAAAGATGACTGTATTTTCAGTAGATAATTTCTGTGAGCATTTTTTTGTGGTGACAGCAACAGCCTCAGCAAATGCCTAGGCCTGATACTTATGTGGAGAATCTCTCTGATAGACCAAGAACAGCATTCAGCACATGACATGACATTGTGAGACCAGATCTGTCATCTTCTTAAGACCTAAAGCCTTAAATAGTTACATGACCATGTCTCAGTGCAAGTATTCATTTTTTATGATTCTCAAAAGGGAGCCAGCAAAGAGGAACAAAAACAACAACTACATAAAACTAGACAACACAGACTGAATCAGTAAACTCTGAATCACATAAACTATTTTATGTTTATAAACAAAATTATAAAATTTTAAAAATCCTACAATTCTGGAAATGCCCTTGATGTAAATTCACATATTTGCACCAATGTCCCTAGACCCATGCAAAGACAGGATGAGTTTTTACACCAATTTATTTCCAAAAGCACAAAGTATGAATAAATGCACCTTTTCCCACTTTTTAAACATTTTTATTTTCTTGTACCATAGAAATGGTTTTACCCTAGAACCATTAGTTGCCTTGAAAGCTCTGTAAAATAAAACACATTAAAAAGTACTGTGTGACAATTAATTACATCCTTCAATTACTGCCATCTTCTGCCTTCCTCACCACCATTCAGCTCCTCACTGCAGAAATATAAGAGCTAATACTGACCTCTGTAAATTAGGAATATAGCTGCAAGGCAGCAGTTCAATGCTAGTGCAAAGTTTTTTGACATCAGTGTGATAAAAGGCTAAAGCTAGTGCAAAGGCGTGGAGTCAGGTCTGGCATTGCTCCTTTTCCCACTAACTATGATGACTGCTGTGACAGAAATTTTCCAAGAAGTTAAGAGCTGGAAGACCTGTTACAGCCAAGTCCCTGGTCAGAGGTGGGCAAGGTCACAGATGGACATCCAGCACTGAAGAAGCAACTATTTAATATAAGCCATCCAAATGCCTCCTTTTAACATCTACTTTCTCTTGTCTTTACTGTCATTCATCATAAAACATCAAAACCATAGGAGAAATTACACAAGATGCTTGTCTGGTTGCAGTATTACCCACACCTAGGTCAGCCCTCATTTTAGCACTGTTAAACTGAACAAACATTACTCTGGCACACAGACACCTCCCCATACATCCTAGCACAGAAGAGACCTGAATGTGTTTATTAAAAGCTTAAGGGCACCTCTGATGCCATCCAGGAGACATTCAACTACCTCATTACAAGTTTGAAAATCCTTTTATAAACTTGGCATAATTATCCTTGGGAATGTTCTCCCTCTTCTTGTTTTGTGTTTTGGCTGGTCTTTTTGTTTGTTTTTTTACAAGCAACTAAATTGCAGAAGATGGGGCCTCTAAGAAACAGAATAAAGATTGACTTGGAGCATCTTCCAGAACAAAATAATTGTCACCATGCTTGCTAATGAAAATTGGTACACTCATGTAAAAGGAACAGACATTTTGCTGTGCTTGAAATGTCTCTTTTCTTTTTTTTTTTTTTGTTATTTTGCAGTGAGACTGTCAAGAAAGAATTATGGGACTGTACACAAGAAAATAAAAATAAATAGGAACCTAAAGCAGAGATCACCTGTTTCTCATGCTAATGACAGTTTAGAAAGTGCACATTTGAAAACTCCTTTTTATTCTGTCAGAGAATCATAGGGCAGTTATCTTTAATAGCTATTACTCAAACAGCTGTATAAAAAGTATCTTGTATCTCTAGCAGTCTTTATTCTATCAAAAGGATAATCCTTCAATGCTATGTGTCATTCACTTTAATTTTTCAAGGCTGACAACATTTTGAGTAGAGTGCTCTGCCATTCATGGGAAGATGTAAACTCATAACTGGAGGATTTATTTTCTTTTTAAGACTGCTTATATTGTTAAAAACAATGAAGAGCTGGATTTACAGGGCCAGGCTTTGTCAATCAGTGTAGCTATAGTGACACAACAGTTTTACACCAGCTGAGAATCTGGTCCTTGTGGTTATGAACAACAGAGAAATGGATTTCTATGCCATCAGTGGTAAGAGATGTGTAAAGAAAAACCCCTCTTGCCCTTCCCTTGTGACTTTTTATGAACCTGCACAATGTGCCTATCCAAACACTGTAAATATTTAAGAATTATCTGCTACACAACAATTTTGTTCTAATTTATGTTCCAATTTTTAATGCATGAATTCATATACTTTCATTAGCCAGCAGACAGGTATCAGTACTTACCTGTGATCTAAATGGTGAATAGAGAGAATAACCCCTGAATTCAAATGGGCTTGTTTTAAGGTCACCAGAATTGTGAATTCACCTTTATTTCTTAACTTCTGAAAAAAGATTTCGGCTGTTTCTGGAGATGCCTTCACATTTCTTGAAGTATCTAAAATAAACATAAGAAAAAACAGAATAAAACCTTATGTTACTTTACATCCTCATTCAAAATAACAGGCTATTTCTGAGAAGCACAACTGAACAGACAGGCAAAAGCAAGGACCAAAGTATTTAAAACATTAGTTTTGCATGCAATGGGAGCCATTTCAGTGGAAGAGAACACATTTTCTAGGACACCTATTCTATTCTGGGAGCAATGGTGTTTTGTTTCGATCCAGGGTCATAACTCTTACTTTCCTCAGGGATGGCCAGATGGTACCTTTAATATCCCATCCAAAGTTTGGGCTCACTAGCAGTGAAGCACAGTGACAACACTAGACATGAGCCTAAATCCGAACACATGACCTGAGCAACTTTTTAATGACTTCTAAAATATCTTATGCCTAATAGCATAAATACACAAATAAATAAACTAATTTAAAAAAAAAACAACAAACAATTTATTCAGCTTTAAGTAATAGTTTAAAAATCCATGAAATTTCAAAATATTTTATCACTATTTCACTGCTCTATACTCCAGTTGGGTGGAATTTTCCTGCTGCTTCTTGCACAGTATGTCATGAACTTTTGTTAGAGTAGTGGCAAACACACAATAAACATTTTACTTTTAGAAACCAGCACAATGCCTAGACTGATGAAATATTTCTACTGAATTTGCACATAACATGCATAGAAAATAAAAAAGGCACAAGCTTAGGCTGTCTAGAGAGATAATTTACAAAATAAGATGTCAAATGCTGGAAAAGTAATTCCCAATCTCCAGAATACATTATACAAGAAAAAAAATTAATATACATTTTTAATGCACAAAATCAATTCATTAGCATGTGTAATCAGCTGTGTAAGAATTAAATCAATTCACAAGCTTCTTGTCACAGCAATTTGACCATTCTGCTCTACTTGGGAACACTAGCTCAGGAGCAGCAGTAGAGAGCTAAGAGCAATAGAACTGGTGATTTTCTTTTGGCAACACTGGAGCTGAGCTCTCAAGTACAACACTCTCAGCTTACACCACTGTTCTTGAAACAGTTTTATTCCTTAAATTGGAACTATGAAGATGCTGCTCTCTATTAACAACAATTGCTTATTTTGGCTTTTGGATCAGGAATTTTTTAATATCTGTTTAGGAAATGCAACAACCTGTGCAACTGTGAAGTCCTAACCAAGTTCCTGAACAATGTCACACCTGGTTGAATTCCATCTGTTTTTCACAAAGGGGAACCCAAAAAGGAAAAAAAGGAAAAGTTAATGTCTACCAAATTTCTGTGATGCCTTCATAAGCAACTGATGAAAGAAAGCATATGTTTAACACCCCCACCCTTAAAGAAGGCCAGCCCATAAGTTTATAACTATCCCCATCTTCTACAGGCTTTTTTATTCCAACTAGAGCTATTGGGATGCAAACACTGCGCTACAGATGGCCTGTGCTTTCACAAGGAAACAAACCCTCACCATCACATGGAGCTCTCCAGAGCCACCCCAGTCCTCACCACTGCGTGACAGGCATGGGAAACACAGAGCTGCCACAACACCCACAAGGCAGGAATAATTGATGAGGTCTCTTCATGTCACCCTGAATCATTACCTGATCACTACACCAGATGAGAATTTTCCATCCTTTATAAAACCTTACCTGGGTACCCTACAATCATTCATTGTTGCCTCAGATAACCTTCTTGTACACAGACAATAGCATCAAGACCTGATTGCACCATGCTGGCAGCCTATATACTGAGATTACCATCACACTAACTGCTGGAATGTTACATTGCCAAAACACACGGCCACTCAGTTTTGGTACTGCAAATAGGTCAGATCATACTTGCTGCTCTAAAAAAGCTACACAGCCTTTTGAATTATTACTATTTTTATGATGCACAACACTCTTTGCTCAGGGCAGGCACCAGGTGGATCTTTTAAAAGAGAGATGACTGAAAAGTCCTTGATCTGTCAGATCTGTTCTTTTCACACTAACACAAGAGTGCAAATCCCTCCTTCCAATTGCCTTTGAAAACCAGCAGTAGGTGCTTGATAGATCACCAGCTGTGCTCAATAAATATTGCTTCAGGCTTCTTCTTGATATTTGGCTCCTAGTAATCAGTTTAAGACCCAACAAAAATACTTTACTGGAACTGGAGTTCTTCCATAATAGCTTGGAGAAATCAAACTGGTATATCTCAGACAATAATTTGCAGTTTCTCAATAGTTACATAAAAACCTCATACTGTGAACATTTCTAATACACAAAACCAAAGGCATAAATCTTTTCAACTTGGAGTGCAGAAATAAGGAGAGAATTATTAGTTTGAATGAGAAATTTATCTCTAACCATGATGTTTTGGGTTTATTTTCCTAAAACATTCCATGTGTTTGGTTTGACCACACCACAACAAATCACAAATCCATAGTGTCATCACTCCATCTTTGACTTACAAAAACATGAAAGTGACAGTTAAAGAATCAAAAATCCAAACTCAAATCATGTCTCACTCCTTGTTCAGGCTAGATCCTTTAATATCTAACATTGCAAAGCAGCCTGGAAGCCCAGTGAAAAAAAACACTGACCCCAAGACCCGCAGGAACTGAGCCCTTCAGAAGACAAGCTTAGCAGCTGCCTGTGCTCCCAGAAACCCTCACTAATAGGAGACATTTTCCCCTCTCAGAGACAATCTGCAGTCAGAGCTCTGCAGCAAACACCAATACCACACCAGTGTTTCCTGAAGATGTCAAGAGCAGACAGACACTGTCATTTCAGTCATGCTCATGAGATAATAACTGCACTTTAACAAAGATAGCAAGTAACTACCACCAAGACTCACTCCACAAGTCCAAAGGACTTCCACCAGTCCAAATGGCTATTGGAGAAAGAAGCAGTTTTATCCTTTGCGATCACCAGCCTTTTACTGGTCTCATCAACCTTATGGGGATAACTGCATTCATAAAAACAGAAGAGGAACTATTGGAGGCAACTGATCCAGTCTTAACTAGTCAGCCATGCCTCCTCACCAAAAAAAAACAAAACTGTTGGAAGCAGCCACAAACAAGTTATGAGAGGTAAGCAGGAAAATTTCCATACACAGCACCAGCAGCGTACCAAATCACACAGTGGAGAGACTTAGGACAAGCCATTCATTACCATTCCTTTCCAGTCCACAATAAAAGAAAACAGTTATTAAACAGAATGCATAAATTTTCCTAGCAAAGGGTGGTCTCAAATTTTTGAAGAGCATCTCAAAGTAAACATACAGTACAACTGAATTATAAAACAATTCCTGCAGAATAGTCTTTGAAGGAGGCATTCTAACTAATTGAGCTCCACAGTTTGTTTCATGGGCACATAATCAGCTTTTAATAGCAGCATCTATAAATCAATTCTGCATCTGACTGTAGCTCTGCTGAACTATCCAAATTAAATTCTAGTGCTTCACAAGAAGAAAGAGGGCTGAAGGCTAAAATGAGGCTGAAAAATATAATTGGCTCAATTTTTGTTTCAGTTTCCTACACTAGTAGGGATGAGTGTCACAGGCACATATTCACATCCTGTCACTTTCCCATATTCAAGTTTTCAGTTAATATTTTCATAACCAGGGATTTCACACAGCCTTCAAAGGGCAACTGTTTACTTCATATGGTTCTTTCATTTAGGTAACAAATAAAAACTAAACTGCACCCAGCCAATGGGGAAGCATGCAAAGCCACTCCAAAAGCAGAATCTTTACAGGGCTGACAGAGCACAGCAGGATTTTAAGTGGAACACAGTGCATTCAAATTTAGGAGCTGCATTCCTCTAATGAAAAATGAAGATATAAAGTAAAATAACCTTTATTAGACCAAAGCCTTGCTAGACGTGATATGAATTAAATCCTTCAGTAGAAAGGCTGGTTGTTTTGCGATTTAAACTGATATATAAGATCAGCTCATAAAACATTTTGAGCTACTTTATCTATAAATTTTTCTATTCCCATCTCAAAGATTGCCAGTTGTTTCAGAGAGAAGAGCAGAAAAAGCATCTGTAGTTTTCCAAACCCAAGTGAACCTTTGTTGGATTCCCCAAGGCTGTAGGAAGGGGCTCTGGCAAGGGTCTGGGGGAAGGTGTTGCAGCTCCACCTGAAGTTTAAAAGATTGCAGTGGGGTAAACACTAGCCCTGTAAGATTCCCACTGGGGCCATTCCCAAGGGCTCAGAAGCACTGCCCAATTCCCAAGCCTGGGTGAGTTCCAGGACTGCAATTGAAATGTAGTCAGGATACCAGCAGGTGATCCAGAGCTCTGTGCACACAAGCACCCCCCATAAACTGGATCCAACCTGGTGTCCCCAGCACAAACACTCACAAACAAGGACTCTTGTAATTAATTTCCCAAGTGGCATGATCAGGACCTTGGGATACCTCACAGACTGTTTAGGGACATAGCCCACAAACAGCTTTTGCAGTTTTGACACCCCCATGGTGTGGTGTGTCTGCCTTATTTCCACTAAAGAAACACTTCAGCAAGGATGCATGCAGATAGAAATGCAGTGGATGAGAAGGAGAAAAGGAAGAGGGCAAAATGCTCTTCAGCTGAAACTAAACAATCGAAACAAAAACTGACTTGAAGCCAAATCATTAAATCAAATAAAAACAAGGGGGAAAATGTCACAGTTTGTTCTTGAAGCATTTGGGGAGGTTCCAACTGCCTTTGCTTTGTAGCTTCCTCTGTTCTGAATGTCAGCTACATTGGCGTGTCATCCAGCAAGGGCTTTCCTCCAGCTCAAACCATATCCAAAGTCCCACAAGTCACAATGGACTAACACAAAAGACTAGACCTGCTTCTGTACACCTTTTTCCCCATTATATTGGTTGTTCATTCTTATATCCTTAAAAAACAGTTACCATATCACTACTGGCCAAAACTCTGTCTCACCTATATGCTACATACTTTGATGTTTAAAGTAATTTTGGCGCAGCTGAGAACACAAATCTACTGTGGGACAAGAGGAGGGAAGGCTACTGAGAGTCTGGACAGCTAGGCTTGAATAGGGACAATTAGGATAGACTTTGAAAATCCATGACTGTCTGTGGAAAATGACAGCTGTAATATAACACACATTCCCTGTGAACTGACAATAATAGCACTGAAATCTGCCTAGAAGCATTCTGCAAGAGATGGTACAAAACAAGTTTGGGGGTGATTATTCTAGTGGCTGGGTTAAGCCTCTGAGCTTATACACTAACCAGCTGCTTCTAGAAACCGAGGCAAGTCAGACGTGACTGAATCGTTCTGCGATGGACTTGGTACCACGGCTCTCTCAATCTCAGTCTTAACCTGCCAGAGCACAATGTTGAGACATTTACACATCTTTCATCTTTCCTTGGGCTGTTGTCCCTTCAGCAAGGAGGGAATTTGCACCAGGACCACAAGAGGGAAGAATTTCCTGTAATGTAAAGCAGTCCAGCTGCACTGCAAAAAGTCAGGCATGCTCCTCAAAAATGTCAGGTCCACGAAGAAGAATTTCATGACTATTGGACTCAGTAAGCAAAAAAATAAATAAAAGATAAATAGTTATAGAAAAGGTTCTAGTGACTGCTAGTGTAATAGCATATTTCTGACAATTTTCCCAACCTTTTGCAAATGACAGGATAAGAAACTTAGGTTTCTTATCACAGGCAAACCTGAACTTTGAACATGTAGGATTTCAGATTAGAAATCTGTATTCCCAGCACAGGAGGCTGAAATAGCTGATTTACTAATAAGCAATACAGATCCTGCCACACTAGATTGTTAATAAAACAACTGGTACTGAACTGCCACAGAAAATGAAAATGTTCTCTCCTGAACATCTCTGAAAGGAATTTTACAAATGTATAGAGCAACACACAGGGAAGCGCCATACATACAAAAGTACTATCAGGGATTTTTAAAGGCATACATTCTGTCCCTTGTACCCCAGAAATACTACCCCTTTCAGAGAAGCTGTCATCATGCTAGACACCATCATCAGGAGAGAGGGTGCTACTCACTGGAGACCTATTACATGACAACAAAATAATGAAGATAAAAGACTTCTGTTCTAGTTACTGAAATTCCACTGCTAGGAAATTAAAATGTGTGCTGCATGGTATGCTCCACACCATGTACTTATTATTGTAATGCTTTCTGGTGATTTATAGGTTCCAGGTTATCAATTATATGATGCAATAGACTTTTTGATTACCAGTTTTTCCTAGCCTATACTCCAACACTATTCTTAAATCCTTTTTAAGTTTTAAAGATGCTTTTTTGATTTTATTTTTTTGTATGTGCTCCCTCATAGGTAGAATCACATACTGCTACTTAGAATTATGTTGTTTAGGTTTTTCACAACCAATACTGCTATAAAACCTATTATGTTTGAACAAGGACACTGATGTAGCACAGAGTGGGACTTCCTTTGTTTCTTCATTTCAATATCTAAAAGGTTACAGGTACTATAGCTTTATAAATATATGTGTGTATATAAATATGAACTCCCTTTAGGCACAAAACAGCTTTTTAGAAGCTGCTTTGAGAACACCTTGAAACCTGTGGAGAAAATCAAGCCTGCCTTGTTTTCCTTGCAGCTGCCATCTGTGGCATATGCACCTAGTTATGCTTGGTTGCCTACTGTCACATGAGCACTTTGTGTCAAACTGACCTAACAACAAACAGAAATATCACACCAAGAAATGCTGTTAACACTGGGACATTGAAGAGCAGAAGGAAAACAATGCAACGTCTTCCAGCCCTACCAGTACTGTAATAAGGGCATGACACACATGAGAACTGCTAAAACACTGATTTGATTTTCAGTTCCTCATTGTATATAGCATGGCCAGGATTTTAACAGGTATTCAATTCAAGGCAAAAGGGGAGGACAGAAGGAGGAGGAGGAGATAGTGTTGCAAGCCTTTTCCAAATGAAAAGGCAGGCTACCAAAGGTAAACAAAGCCTAATCAATTAAAAACAATCAAGTATAAACTTAATGGCAGTAATAAATCATGGAAGCAGATTATTCTAGATAACGATCAAGCTGCATTACATACCCTACCCTTCTCTCTGAAGATGTGACAACTCAAATTCTCAAGTATATCATATTCCAGTGGTGAACTATCATACAATGGCAGACTGTATAGGATCAGCACCCACCATGGCACCTCTGAATTAGGATCATGCTTGGTGTAGGCAATCCAACACCCTCTCAGCAGCACACCACGTCTCCCCCTCACTTGGTTCTCACTGTGCAAGTGTCAGTAAGACTTACTCATGCTCTCTGCTCAGTCATTTTCTCTCAAAACCTCCTTTTGCTGTGACAAGTGTGCAGCTCCTGAGGATCTAACTCCTACAGCCTGTGTTTCACAGATTCATTTAGGCTGGAAAGGACCTCTTGAGATCATCTAGCCCAACTGTAATCATTTGTGGGTGACCTAGAAGGTTTACCTTTTTTCTCTGTGAAGAATATGTTTCTCCCTCTTGGTAGTGATTTGGATCTCTCATCCTAGCTTTCCTTCATCTCTGGCTTTCTAGGGTATAACTGGTTTTGCCCACATTAGGGTTAATTGCCTTCAACTAACCAAAACTCTGTGTATCAAGAATTTAAGTGCTGCTTTCTTTTCACACAACACAATGGTGAGCTTAAGAAAGCTTACCGTATGAGATCATTTTGTAGACGACCACAACCATGCAGTTTGCATGAAAGATTAACTTCTGACCCAAGAGAATAGCCAACAGCCACTGACACAGATAGAAAGTGCCAGAAAACTTAAATTTGTTTCCTGACAGCAAAAATAGGGCAGGCCAGGGGGAGGGAGGCAACCACTGCAAAAAATTGTATCTGAATACGGACACATCCAACACCTCTGTTGCTAGCCACAGGCCTCCAGCAGCAGGCTGAGCAAACAGCAGCAGATGGGGGGAGAAGGCAGGAGACTGAACTGTAAATAGAATTCGAGCAGAAACAGGAAGCAGCAGAGAGACCACACCTGAGGGCAGAGGTAGGATGCCAATAACAACAACCATACTGGCATACTTGGAAAAATCTCCACTCACAGGATATTGGTTCTGATGCCAGAAAAATGAAAGACTAGGGTTTTGAATTGGGAACATGAAAGAGGAGAGATACCAAGGAACACCATATACACAGCTCAGCTGTGAGCAGGGCAGACAGGTAGAAAATACATGGAAGACTCAAACCAACCATTAGCAGAGATTTCAAGAAAGCTGGGAAAGACCAGAGTACAGATTCTCCAAAAGCTCTTATTTAAGTCAGGTATTAGTGGAGTCCATGCTTCTATGAATGTGCACACTAACCCTGATGAATCAGCTACAGATTTAAACTCGTGCCCAATTTATAAGCTTGGATGAGTTAAAATTATAAAATGTTTCCAGGCTTTATTTTTCTCTTCTAGGTTTATTTGAGTCAGGCATCATCAAAATGCATGTAAGTGCACCAAAGAACAAGTTTCAGGAGAAGACAAAGGCACTGTTCTGATAATTGTGTACCAGGTGTTTGATGCTACTTTCTGTCTTTGCAAAACTCTCCCTATACTAGATCAGTTTCACCAACATCCCCACTCTCCAGAGTACAGAAAGACTTAAAGGGTCATCCACCCATTCCTTAGCCTATTACCTCAACAATTATGTACAATGACTACAACACAGCTAATGTTTCCTAGATATTTTATTTCATACTATCATCTAAAAAAAGTCAAAATTATGGAGATTTCCACCACTTCTCTTCAGCAGCTATGCCTCAATCTAAACTATTCTCTGTGAAAGTTCTCTGTGAAAGTCACCTTTTATCTTAAATCCTCTCAATTTGTAGTATCATTACATTACTCTTACCTCTAGCTCTTTGAATAATAAATAATTCCTTCATTTTAAACCTCTAAGAATCTTCTAATACTAAACACTTATCATGCAACACTTTTGTCATTTCTTGGACAAGCTGTACGTGCTCAAGTTCTTTGAAAAGCTTTCTTACTAAGCCAGCCCTTTCTTTACTGTATAATCAGGTTTGCTGTTTTTCTCTTCAGACCCTGCAATTCATTGATATTTTTCTGAAATGCAGAGACCCAGAGTGAATGCAATAACCCAGACACAGTATTTTTTTTAAATTCAACCTCCCAGATCTCTTACTGCCTTATGCTTTCCTTATGCTAATTGTGTATGCAGGGATTCCTAATCAGAGCAACACTGAACAGGGTACACAAGGTTTTCCCAAAGTCTGCCCTCTTCCTTGAATGAGAGCTGAGCAAATCTAGGGACTATTTCAATTTTGAGGCATATTACTTAATGTTACAGAAAATCTTAAGAGTGCCTTTGGAACAGCTGGGGCACAATAATCAAATGCATGCTTAGGGAGCTATTAAAACACAGATTATTGACCTCAAAACTAGAAAAGATCCTTTGGAACCCTTCTGGATCATTACACAGCTGTATCTAGAGACTGGT